CATCCTGAGGCTGGGACATCCTGCAGGGATGAGGAAATCATTCCTGGAGATGTGCAGGAGGAAGAGAAGGAGAATACATCCTGGGGCTGGGACAGGCTGCAGGGATGAGGAAATCAAATCATTCCTGGAGATGTTCAGGAGGAAGAGAAGGAGAATACATCCTGAGGCTGGGACAGGCTGCAGGGATGAGGAAATCAAACCATTCCTGGAGATGTGCTGGAGGAAGAGAAGGAGAGCACATCCTGGGGCTGGGACATCCTGCAGGGCTCCTCAGCTCACCAGGGCTGATGCTCAGGTCACAGCACTGCACAGAAACATCAGGAATGAAGGAGAACCTCACAGCCACGGGAGCTCCAGTTCCACCCTCACCTCTGGAGGGAACAGCTGGATTTGCCCTCCTGACTGTCTCTGCACTCAGGAGCTGCTCATGCATTCAAAACATGAATGTACAGAGTGAAAAGTTGCTTGCTGTTACTAATAGAAGCAAGATTTTAGTGTTAACAACCACTGGTCAGTAAAAGATGTTATAATAAATATAAATATAAAATAAAAATATGTGATAGAAATAAAAATATAAAAGATGTTATCATAAGTATAAATATAAAATAAAAATATGAAATAGAAATAAAAATATAAAAGATGTTATAATAAGTATAAATATAAAACAAAAATATGAAAGATGTAATAATAAATATAAATATAAAAATATAAAATATAAAAAATATGAAAGATGTAATAATAAATATAAATATAAAATAAGATTAAAATATAAAATAAAAATTAAAATATGGAATTAAAATTAAAATATAAAATATGTAATAATAAATATAAATATAAAATAAAATAAAAGTGTAAAATAAAAATAAAAATATGAAATTAAAATTAAAATATAAAAGATGTTATAATAAATATATATATATAAAACAAAATAAAAATATAAAATAAAAATAAAAATATAAAAGATGTTATAATAAATACAAAGATAAAATGAAACTATAAAAGAAAAATAAGAATATAAAATAAGTTATAATAAATATAAATATAAAATAAAAATATAAAATAAAAATATGAAATTAAAATTAAAATATAAAAGATGTTATAATAAATATATATATATAAAACAAAATAAAAATATAAAATAAAAATAAAAATATAAAATATGTTATAATAAATACAAAGATAAAATGAAACTATAAAAGAAAAATAAGAATATAAAATAAGTTATAATAAATATAAATATAAAATAAAAATATAAAATAAAAATATGAAATTAAAATTAAAATATAAAAGATGTTATAATAAATATATATATAAAACAAAATAAAAATATAAAATAAAAATAAAAATATAAAATATGTTATAATAAATACAAAGATAAAATGGAACTATAAATGAAAAATAAGAATATAAAATATGTTATAATAAATATAAATATAAAATAAAAATATAAAATAAAAATATGAAATTAAAATAAAAATATAAAAGATGTTATAGTAAATATAAATATAAAATAAAATACAAAAGATATTACAATGAATATCAGCTGTAAAGAGAATCTGTATCACATGCTAAAATTCCAACCAGAAGATTGTCTCACAGCCAGGTGGGTTTTTTTTCCCCTAAATTTGGTAAACAGCAATCTAGTTCAACAATAATGAAAAAAATAAAAATATATCCAACCATGCCAAAGCTTGTGTCTCAAAACATTTATTGTTTATTTAACAACAGCAGTGAGGCTCCTGCTCTGTAAACGAACACAAGTGTGAGCAGAAGGTACAGGATAAAACAAGTTTACAGAAACCTGGGACTGAAAGCAGGGAGAGCACCCACCCAACACCCTGCACTTTTGTTTGATAGAAATATATCTGCTTATGCATTTGAAAGCATGAAGGGAAATATGCAAATGCCATTTAAATAATCTCCATCTTCAGTTTTTAAAAAGCACAGAATGTGCAGTTTAGTACTGGCAAGAATACACAGAAAAAAATAATTATTTAAGTTGTGCAAGATGTGTTTTCTCCAGGAGAACTTCCACGGGATCTCTTTGAAAAAGGCTTGGTAAACTGAGAAACAGGAAACCTAGAAGAGCTCAGGCATGCATTTTACTGTCAAATTTTCTTTCTTTCCCTTCCCCTTGAGCTTTTCAACAATGAGAACAATTTTGGTGCAGCATATAAACAGAAAAAATACCAGTTCTGTCCTCCTGGCAGTCTTCTGATTCATTAAAAATGGTGCCACTCCAAAGCTAGAAAAGAGGCACAACCTAGCAAACCTGGGATGAGAGCCACCATCTCAGCAGGGGCCTGGGACAGAGTTATTTTTAACCCCTTTGTCATCCCCTTCTCCCCTTTTACTGCTGCTCCATCCCTCTCCTGTACAGGTTACCCTGCCATGAGATCATTTAGAGGGATTATACAGATTGCAAATTAATTCCTGGTTAAATATCAGTTACACTTGGCATTTGTTTCACAGGAAATACTCTGCCACTTCAGCTTTTATGCACTGGAGATCAACATTGCAATGTTCTTGTCTCTTTTGGACATACCTGCAGGATGAGAGACTCTTTATCACCTTCTAATCGTGCCAACCTTTCTTGATAAGTTTCATTATTGGGTGGATGATGGTTCACCTGTGACTGGGAGGAAAAAAACAAAGTGCTGTGAGAATTTATACAGCTCAAATTTCAAGCAACAGTTAATGAAAGTTTTGTACATTAAGTAGCTTGTACAACTCAAAAAAATCTAGAAAAAAATGTGTGTATAGACCAGAACTGTTTATTTCATATGTATTAACCCTGTACTTAATGTACATTAATATAATGTACATACTATATTAAATAATTAATTATTAATTAATTAAAATTAATTATTTAATTAATGTACATTAAGAATGTACCTTTTTTTTTAGCTGTATTTTGAATAATTTCTCGTTTCCAGCATTCAAGAGTGGTAAATGAATAGACTGATATTTCCTAGAAATGAAAATTTCAATGGAAAATACCATCTTACCAAAACAAAACCCATTTAATTTGAAATATCTAGTCTCCACAGTCTTTTGCCAAAGTCAATGCATCTTGTATTTAGTTTCAAGTGGTAAAAATTGCTATGGGTGTGTTATTCCTGGAAATTACTGAAAGAAAATTAGAAGGCTTTTGTTAGCAATTAAAAACTGACTTAAATGATCAAATTCTTATCAGAATCAAATTCTTATCAGAATCAAATTCTTATCACCAATCACTTATTGGTGGATTTCTAAATGGCTCTAGGGAGCAAAACCTTTTAAAACATGGCCTGTCCTTAATTGTTATGTCCCATTTCCTATGAATTTCAATATTTCATATAGAAACACCACAATTTAAAAGCCATCTGCAGATTTAAGTTTAGAAGAGTCTCCTATATTGATCCTGCACATTAAAACATGGGAATGTTTGCTCAGAGCATCAGAGGTACCCTGAACACCCAGAGGTTGATTTGGTCCCAGCTCCAGTGCAGGAGCTGCATTTCTGCCAGGGAACACAACAGCCAGCCTGGCTTCCCAAGGAGCTGCCTTCAAATTATAATACAAATTAAAAGATTATAATCCTCCTCCCCAGCTGTCCTTTCCTTTTTCAACTCAACTTTTGAGAACAGATATTTTATTTTTTAGTCAACAATTAATTAAATAAATAAATAAATAAATAAATTTTAATATTATTTAATTTAATTATTAGTTAATATATATTATTTATTAGGCATAATTCTATACTATATTATATCATTATACAATTATATAATTATAATTATAATTATAATATATTATTGAATAAATACATATATTGTTTAATATATATTAATTATTAATAATTACATTTTCATATTTAAATTCTTGATCTATACCGAGGCCAACAAGCCCAACCCTAAAGCAGATGCTGAAAATAAAAACGGTGCTAGTTAAATCAATAAATCAAATTTGTATCCAATCAAAAGGCACTTTTCCAGCCATGAAGTGCTGAATAACATATGTTAGATATAAGATATAAAATATGAGAGAAGCTGAGCACCCTTGTCTGATTATTTTAAAAGAAATTGAATCACAGTAGCACCAACAAAGAGGGCTGAAAGATGGCTCAAGCGATCACCTGGCTCACTATTCTGTCCTAGGGCCGATGGTCATTTGCAATATTCTTGTTTTGTCTTCTTCTAAAGAGCTCCAGAGATGGAATTCACAGCTTCTCCATCTACCTCTTACCTACCCATCATCAGAGCATTTTTCTGCGTGCCTAACCTGAATCATCTCTTCAACTTCATGGTTGTCACACCACTATGAATTAAAAATTAGGTCCTTCCGTTCACCTCAGAGATTTTTTATATATTTGAAGATTATCTCTACATCTCTAATTAGTCCCTCTTCAAGCTGTGAAGGAAAATACGAGTTCTTCTGTCTTTTCCTCATAGGTTAATTTTTCAAGATTTGTTTTGTTGCTTTCTTTTGGTTCCTCTTCACCAACTATTTCCCAACTTCTTTTGAAATGAAGTGCCTAGGAGGAGACAGAGTGTTCCAGCTGAAACTGCCTGGAGTGGTAAAACCTTTTCACAGATTCTCAGGCCATATTTCTTTCCATGTTAACCACACAGTAAAATTCATATATTTTCAGCCTGGTCCCCATAACTTCCAGATCCTTTTAAAATGCTTTTATTTAGCTGTCTGCCTGTTCCTCATTCTGCTTTTACTCTTTGTTTCTGCTTAAATGTGTAACTTTGAGCAGGTCTGCACTGCCTTGCATGCTATTATCTATACTCTTTTCCTATGCATTTGGCTCTTATGTTTTAATTGTGCCCTTTAGCATAGCTGCCTTAAATAGAATCACCTCTAAATTCAATAATCTCAGGTTTTTTTTCCTGTTTCAGGGGTCAGCAGGAACAGTGAAAACAGAATGTGCAGGTGCTCACTCCACACCTCACCAACCAGCCTTCATCATCAAAAGATGAACGCGTTAACTCCACTCAAAATATACTTTTATCACAATTTTTTCACCAGTTCATAATAAGCACAACTAAGGTTCCAGACCTCACAGAAATGGCTCTAAATATGCAGGTGTGAGGTCAGCCAGAAAGGCCTCGGATAAACAGAGGAAAGCACAGAGGACAGAAAAATGACCTGCTAAATAAAAGTGTCTGATTGACGTGCAGCAGTTGTTTGAGACTCGGTAATTCTGGCGTGGATAAAGACAAGATAAAACAGTGTAACATGAGGCAAGGCCATCTGTGGATGGCTGGAGTGCATTCTGCAGTTGTGAGAGCCAGGACTGAGGAGGAACTGAGAAAGATGGATCTTTTACACACATTAAAATCAGCAGCAATTGAGCACAGGACCCGTAGCACAAAAGACACGAGACCAGAGATGATTTCCAGCTGCTTTACGAACTCACAAACAACAAATAAACACTGGTCATGTGTTTACACAGGTCCAAAAGTCCTGAACCTGCAAGACTTCCTGCAAAGCTGCTATTTCAGAAGATCCAGCATGAAAGACCAAAAATTGTTACCTGAGCTTGACAAATTCTAAGCCAAATATGTTAACAATGCCTCTTACAATGGAAGAATGAGAGAGATTGCACAAACTGTGTAAAAATGTTTATGATAACACATGATAACAAAGTAGAAGGAAAGGCAAGGTACCTAAAAATATGCTGATGGCAGAACCACTGCAGATAAAAAAAAATCAGCTGCATGCCATAAATACTTTGCCTACAGGAATCACAGAATTCTTAGGGCTGGGAAAGAGTTTTAAGATCGAGTCCAGCCAGCACCACCACTAATTTTACCATTAAACCACATCCTCAAGTACCACATCTACATGTATTTTGAACTCTGCCTGGGATGGTATCTCCACCATTTCCCTGGGCAGTCTGTTCCCGTGTTTCACAACCCTTTCTGTGATGAAATTTTCCCCAACATCAAATTTAAACCTCTCATGGCCGTTTCTCTCATCCTGTGCCACTGCCTGGGAGGAGAGGCCGATCCCCACCTGGCTCCCCGCTCCTGTCAGCCCATTCTAGAGGGTGACAAGGTCCCCCCTGAGCCTCCTTTTCTCCAGCCTCAACACCCCCAGCTCCCTCAGCTGCTCCTCACGGGGCTTTCACCCTCCAGCCCCTCCCAGCTCCGCTGCCCTTCCCTGGACTCGCTCCAGCCCCCGATGGCCTCCTGAACTGGACGCAGAACACAATTCTAGACCAAAGAGAGGACTACAGGGATGGAAAGAACATGCACTTCTGAATGTTGTTGACTGAAATAGGCTGGGAAGGGTCTGCAGTGTACATTTTTTGGAACGCAGCACCGAGGCCTGGGTGCTGCTGGTAGCACTCGAGGCGTGGCCTCAGCAGTGCCCAGGACAGGGGGACAATCACTGTCCTTTGGGGACAGTATTTCTGATGCCATCGGCCTTCTTGGCCACCTGGGCACAGCTGGCTCATGTTCAGTCACTCTCAGCCCTCGGGTCCTTTTCTCTGGCCACTGTCCAGCCACTCTCCCCCAGCCTGTAGTGCCCCATGGGGTTGTTGTGGCCCAAGGACAGCATCCAGAACTTGGCCTTGTTGAACCTCACACCACTGGCCTCAGCCCATCCCTCCAGCCTGCCCAGATCCCTCTGCAGAGCCTTCCTCCCTCCAGCCCATCCCGATCCCTCTGCAGAGCCTTCCTCCCTCCAGCCCATCCCGATCCCTCTGCAGAGCCTTCCTCCCTCCAGCCTGCCCAGATCCCTCTGCAGAGCCTTCCCTCCCTCCAGCCCATCCCGATCCCTCAGCAGGGCCTTCCTCCCTCCAGCCCATCCAAATCCTTCTGCAGAGCCTTCCTCCCTCCAGCAGATCAACTCTCCCACCCAGCTAGGTGTTACCCTGGTACTTGCTGTGGGTGCACTCAATCCCCTTGTCCAGATCATCAATAAAGGCACCCAACAGCGCTGGGTCCAACTCTGATCCCCAGGGAACACCACTGGTGACAGTGTCCTGTCCTCCCTGTCAGGACATCCAGCCAGGATTTACCCACTGAAAAAGTGCACAGGAATCCAGGAGCTGCAAAACAGTTTTTTGGAGCACCTGTATTACAGTCTCCTTAGCAATTTTGATTATACTTTAGTGCCCATCAGATGGCAAAAGATATTAACATAAAACATTTCCTGGAACAGTTCCAAATCAGCTGTTTCTCACAGTTCTAGAGAAAGAAAAGAAAAATAACTTTTTCCTTTTAATTTTTCTTTTTCTGGTCAAAAAGTGTTCCATCACCTGCTTTAGGTTCTTCATTTTTATTTTCCAAATCTCTCTTTGGAATCTGCTCCCTGATTTAATATGAAAATAATATTGGAAAGTTGCTGGGAAGTTCTAAGTATCACTTGCATGGTCCAGTCATTACTGAGTCCCCTTCCAAGAAAAGGAATTGAATTTTCCTTCTCATGTGACACACATGAAGAAAAAGATCAGACTTTGGAGAACAATTCAATAGCTTTGATATAAAATGGGGATAAATCAGTAAAAGTATCAAAGGATATGGCAAGAAACGTTGTTCAGTTGATGTTCTCCTCGTGTGTGCCTTTTCAGCACCAAGAATCTCCAACACAGCCAATTTTAATCCTAACCCCACCAACTCCTGAAGCTGGTCAGCAAGCTGTGACTCAGAAATCTGTCACAAACACCATGGATTCACCCTGGGCTGGGGAGGAGCTGGGAAAAGAAAGCTGGCAGTCGGCTAAAGTGGTGATTTGGGAGCTTTTTCAGCAAGTCACCCTCCTCTCTGAGGAGACAGATTATATCATAACCCTCCTCTCTTCCTTAGCCACATAAACCACCTTCAGCCCACTGATAATTGAATAGGATGCCTGTGGCAATGATAATACTTGTATTAATGGGGAAGATTAGGGACATGCTTGATTTGGTGGCTTTTTCTGAAGTTTGGAAGCTGAAAGGAAGGAGTAGGGCCAGCAGAGTGCAGCCAGTCAGCACCTCAGAGCTGGAAAATTCACACTGCAGACTCTTCCCAGCCTATTTCAGTCACAATATTTAGGAGTGCGTGGTCTTTCCACTTCTGTAGTGCTGTTTTTGCTCTCTAGAATGATGTTCTGAGTCACAAAGAGTTATACTGCAACGAGTGGTGAGTGAGCAGCTTACACAGAAAACATTTTTATTTGCATCTGACTATGGATGCAATACAAATTTAATCTCTTGTCTTGTTAGTGCTACCTCAGATACACACCCCTGGGCATTCTCAGCTACCTGAGAGGAGGAGGAAAAGGCTGGGACATGATTTCTGGATCTATAATTCTTGCCTTTCATCTGAAGGCAATTAGTAAATCAACAGCAGGGTTTTTTATTTGCCATTGTTACTGGTTGGTGGAATGAAAGTGGCAGTCACTTGGAAAAAGCTGACAGTGCACAGTCTGAAGCTGTGGAAAGACAGAGTTAGGTAAATTTTGGTAGTCCTTACACCAAATGAATTTTAAACAAATATTTTTATTTTATCTGGATATTTTTTCTAAAAACTAATACTCATTTTTTCCCTCTATACAGTTATGTGTCTTAAAAGAAAATATCCTTACAGAAGTCACGAGTTTCACCTTCAATATCTTGAATTTAATGGCTACATCATGGGTTTGATCACTCAGCCTCTTGCTGGTACAGGTTAATAATCTCCTCCAGGAAAAAAAGAAGGCATGAAACCAACATAACACCAATTTCAGGCCAGCCATCATCTCTGTGCTGCGCTGCTTGCATTGAATATTAGCATTTATATTAATCATTTTGGGCTATAACTACATGTCTATGTACCAAAATGTGGGTTGTGCTGTTTTTATTTGGAATGGTGTCTTCCAATTAAGGGTGGGAAGATAAGAATAAAATATCAGGATAACACAAAATTGCACATGAATCCCAAATCCCTTGGGAGAACAAAAGAACATTTGTTAAAAACCAGACACTTTCATGTAGTGGGGCCATCTCAGGTCCCTTAGTTTGCAACAGAAACTTTTCAGAGATCCACACTCAGGCCCTGTGAAGGAACCCAGCATTAATTACCTGCAAAACACTTTCCCCAGGCTACCCACCAGTGATTTCTGACTGTGCTGCTGCCCAAGCTGTGAATTTAGAAGCATGATGTTTATACACAAGGAATTTTCCCTATCCTCCTTCCTTGGCTCTGCCCACCTGCTCTCAGGTTTTGTTGCCCACTTTGTCCATCCCTCTGGCCATTCTTGGCCCACAGGTCCTGCTGACACCAATGAAGTGCAATGGGAAGAACTGAAATGTGCCAGATTTATCCAGTTGGAGTTAAATAATGCTTTTTCCCCTGCTGCTGCTGCTGCAAGGTGCTGCTCTACACATTTTGTTACTGCTTAAAACCAGGCCCTCTGTCCTTAGCATCCAAAAACAGCAGCTGTATCTGTTGTCTTGCCTGCCTGGATCTCGTGATTTTTGCTTCTGTTTGCTGCCCCAACCCAGCCTGAGCCACAGATACCACACAAAGCCAGCCCAGCCAAACCCTGCAACATCAAAACCCATCTGGGTCTCTGAAGTGATTTCTGCTAATGCTCAAATTCGAGCCAGCTCTGGCATACTTGGCCAAGGCTTTGTGGAAGTCTGTTGCAGTTTTTCTCTGTTAAATGTCGTGTGTTACTCTGAAAGCAACTCCTAATTTTATTATCAGCCAAAGAGCAACAGTTTATGCTTGCAGGAACTGGAATCTTTATGTGCTGTAACATTCAGGGCCAGACCCTGGGACTCTTGGATGGGACAATTGAATGAACAGCTTTGATTGATGCAGCTTTTTTGGTTTCTAAATCACTTCTCCAAGGAATCTGGGAGCAGACAGCTTAAATTCTCCTGGGAACAGTGCAGGATCCCTTTCAGTCCTGCTTCACCCCTTTAAAGAGCTTGCAAGGAGAAGCCAGCAGTATTGATATTCTGCTTTATGTACCTGAGAGAAAGGGAATTACACACAACAGCAGCAGGAGCGTTATTAATTCCTGTAAAATCTTGTGCCACCTTTGAACATCCTTTCCGAACACAGCCCACAGGCTGATGGCAGCAGACCTCATTAACCTTTTTGTTAGCAAATCTGTCTTTACAGAAATGAAATTTCTGGAAGCAGGAGAGGCAGACAGTCCATATCTGTAACCTCATTTAAATAGAAAATTAATATGTGAGCTCGAGATATATTTTTTTTAAAGAGGTAATTAGCTTTAACTGCACAGAGCACAGGTTAGACTAATAGCATAAAGTTACCAGCAGCTACTTCCTGTTGTCTCCTCACTATCCACTCACTTCCCATTTAATCCCCTCCACAGACACACTCCAGAAATGTGAAAGTTTCCAGAATCTGATGCAAATATTTGGTAAATTAACTTCAGGATTCTCGTTAAATCTCAGTCTCATTAAAGGCTGACACACCATTAATGTTTTAATATTAATATTAATATTTTACACTTATTCAAGAAACTACCCAAAATAAACATTCCTAATCACATTTTACATTAGAATTGACAGCTATTTTTTGTTTATACAGCCAGCAAAAACCCAAGAGATCATTCTAAAAGAAATTAATAGAAGTATTTATGTGTGTATACATATAGACAGAATTTGCAGGAAAAACACACACAGGTTAGAGCAGATTTTAAAAGAATAAAGAGAGAATGTGCTTCCTTCGTGACTCACAAGTAAATCCATATTCTAGTTTAAAACCCAGCCTGTCCTGAGGGATGTAGTCACACATTCATGGATTTTTCTAACACTAAAAAATAAATATTTAAAATATAAAACCTAAAAGCTGACAGAAACAAAGTGATTTTTTTTTTTTCAAAGTGATGAGAGAACTGCACAAACCCGCTTTTTCTTCTAAAAAAAACCCAAAAAGAAAAGGAAGACAAAAACAATTTCATGCAGTTAATCTCTGTCTGGGCAGCTCATCAACAAAATTAACTTTTTTAAAAAACAACCACATATTTTTAGCAGAATAACAGGCACAGAAGAAAACCAGCACCATTTTTACCCGAGACAAAGGCATCCCGAAAGGTCTCCCAGAGTTACCCCGATGAAGATTCTCTTAAGGGAAGAGCTGGTGCAGAAAACCTTTCCCTTTAAAGCACGACATGGGAGTCTTTCCTTTCTTTTGCTATACGTTACCATGCGGGATTTGTTTTGTTGCACTGCAATCCCCGGAAGGCACAAGCACTTGCCAGAATCTATTGCCATTTGCTCCAAGTTTGATCCTAGAGTTTCATTTTTAAAGACAAAGACAGCTGATTTTCTTCCCCCCTCCCTAAGCCTCCTCCTCCTCCTCCACCGAGGCACGTCTTTAATTCACTTCTCATGAGGAAACTCACACCATTTAAAGTCTGAGGCGCTGAATGAGTTTCCTTTCTCACGGCAGAGAATCCTCACCAAGATTTTGCCAAACGTGCGTTTAGAAAGTGAAAACAAAGCCCGGCAAATCACTTACCCTCTTTAGCCACGTGAAGTGCTTGTAAATATCAATCTCAGCATCCATGCTTTGGGCCCATCTCAGCAGTCACATTCCCAGGGCTAAAGGAAACTTTTGGAAGCAAGCGCTCTGCTTTGTTCTACAGGATGTAGCTGTGATTTCTTCTCCTTTCAACCCTCAACTTCTGAAATCTTCAATGCCTGCTCATATTTTCAGCTGAATCCCCTGCCCCTGTCCCACAGCCTTATCCCAAAGGCTTCTCACAGATGTGTATATATAACACAGAACTGTATAAACTTCAGGCTCCCCCCCAAACATCTGGTTTTTTTAAACAGCAGATCGCTTAGCAGCACGAACAATGCCACCCTGAAAACACCGAAAAGATAACTTGCTAAATGATCTTTAAAAAAGGATCTTTCAAGAACAGCATAAAACTGCAGGAACTGTTCCCCTTTAATGTTGAATAACAAGCTAAAAATTATTAAGCTGTCACTGAGAAACTATTCTCAAGTAATTCTTTCTCTGGCTTTCTGTTTCAAGAGTGGCTGGAACTCATTACCAAAGACCCCCTATTTCCTGTCTCTGTTCTACTCCCTGTTTATCGTAACACTACTCAGCCTTCTCAGTTTATTTCAGGCTCAGACTAAACCTAAAAATAAGTTCTGCTCTTTGAATTACTCGCCTGTCCTCTCAAAAGACATTATAAAAGGGGAGGAATTCAAGGACAATCCTGCGAATAAGATAATGATCCCATAAAATACTGCTATTGCCAAAGAGGCGATTTTCCATCCTAGCAGAGGATGATGATACCCTTCCAAGATATTTGTCTGCTCCTGCTGAAGCTGAAATCTCACAGCATGGCAACTTTTCAAACTTGCAACACCGAGATAAACGCGTGTGCAACGCAACGCTCTGGCAAGAAGGGAAGTTTGAAGTGCTGCCTGTAATTGCGGTGTCCTCTAGTGCCTCCACACAGCAGTTATCCATAACTTCTCATTTTTCCCAACAAACTTCAGTTTCCAGTGCTGTTTCTCCCTCTAGTTCAAAGTGGCTTTGGCCTTGAGCGAGGCAGAATTGTTACGGCAGTTGAGCCGATTGTTACACGCACGAGGACAGCTTGGGCTCTTGTCCTCTTGGGACCCAAAGGCAGCCGCCCCCAAGGAATCTTCGTGCTCATCCCAGAACATTTGCTCATCTCCTCACTGCCTTCAGATCCTGCCCTGGGCTCAGGGAGCAGCAAAGAAGGGTTGGAAGAGGCAGCGTCAAAGCTGCCCACGTTACTCACAAAGGACACAAAGCCTGAAGCTGTAAAAAGCCTTTCCTACAGGGACCTGCCTCGCTCAGGCACCTGCCCCCTTCCAGACTGGGGGAGTCACAGATACGTGACAAAATTTCTTCAAGGCGATGTGGGTTTTTAATATTTCAGCCACTCTTGGTCCTTTTGACCTGAAGGAGCTCTTTTGAGAACCTCCCACAACACAAAGTAAGAGGGAAGGATATAAACTGAAGCTTTCAGTTCCCTTCATATTTATTATCTCTTCTTAAAGTCACATGACAAGAAAAACATGATAATTTTTGGCAAGGCAGTGCTACAGGTTTGCTAAAGGTGCTGGGATACCTAAAATCACCAGTAAATGTGAGCAGAAAAAAAATGTCCATTTCCAAAAGCAATGCTACGAGACAGATCTGACTTGGGCCGCCCTGAGCATAGAATATACTTTTCTTATGCTGTCTGAAAGTGGATGGGAACAGTTATTTCTTGAATAGCTCACACTATCTGGCAAAAAAATCTTAATGCATTAGCAACAATGCATTAAAATAAATTTTAATACCTAGTAGAGTACATTCCCCAGTTCATGACAGCCTCCGTGGAGGAAGCTGGAGACTGAATAGAATTTGTCTTGACATTAAACATGAATGCACAAAGATATAAAGCATTTTTTTCCCCCCAAAAGAAACCTGTTATCTAATTATGGAGATTAGGAAATAGATCAAACTTTGTCTCTCAGCATTGCATCTCCCACGGTATCATCACTATGGTGCCTGGAGTCCCACATTTCATCCATTCCAAAGCACTGGCTCTGAGACTCCCATCTCAGCCTTATTCAGGGAAGAAGGAAATAGCTCTCTCAAAACATTCCACCGCACTTTATCAACCAATGATTGTGGTTTTTTATTTTAAAAACTACAGAAATACTGTGTTACTAAACTTCCTAGTGCCCCAGTGTGGCATCTGCATGTAGGGCAGTGTCCATTTCTCCTTTTAAAAGGATTAAAAATGACAACATACCTTACTTCTGCCTCGTCACTTGTGCTGGAGTTCATGAAAAGGCGTCTTGATTTCTGCTAGTCATTCTTCCTGATTAAAAGGTGAGTGTCTGAATTTTCTGCATCTTATCAGCCAGAATGTTGACAGCATACATTCCAGACAGTCACATGCTCGCTGTCACCTGCACACACTGAACTTTACATCCTGCTTGAGCTTTGGCCTGAAACTCTCAGAAGCCAGCTGAATGTAAATCACTTGCCCCAGATTTGCTTGGAATGCTCTTCCATTTCACTGGGAAAGCAGGTTAGCTCCTCTGGGCAGTGTGAAAATAAGGAAAAAGAGTTGCAACCTCAGGATTGTTTCATCGGCTGTATGTTTTTTCTTATTTTCAGGAAATCCATGTCTGTGTGCAGCTCTTCACTGAGCACCAGTTTCTGGTTCAGTGGAGAGCTAAAAAACAAAGAAGAAGCCCCCTGGCTTCCACTGCAGAACCACCAGCCTCAAGTGTTACCCCAGAGTGAGACTGATCCAGCTTTTGCTCTCTCACCCCCATCAAATTGTGTTTTCTCCAGTGCTGTCTCCAAAAATGGAAGAACACACACACATCATGGCAACACAAATGCCACGTAGGGCAGTAAAATATTTCAAGTTAGCAGAGTTTATGTACTCCATAAGCTGCATGAGAACCCATCAGGCTTTATTCACCAGTTCCATACTTCCATAGAAAACTAAATTGATTGGACTAAAAACTCCCTTTGCAGAACAGCAGAGGTGCCAGCCCAGGAGCTTTTGTGCTGATACATGACCCACAAACCCACTCAGATAAATGAGCCATGACTTTTAGTCAGCATGTCAGGCACTCCAAGCAAGGCTTGAAGCCTCTTTTAAGTAGTAAACACGCTGCAAGAGCTTTGAAACTGAAAGCAGCAAAGCTTCTCATGTCCCTCCATTCCTGTCTATGAAGAGGCAAAAAAACATCCAGAAATTCTCTTTGAACTGTGGAGGGAAAGGTCCTGTCTGGTGTTTTCCCTCTTCTACCAACACTGAGCTGAAGAAGCACAGAGCTGTTTTCTTTTCCACCACTTTTCCCTCTCTTTCTCCCACCCAGCTAGGGCCCTATTGACACTAAAAAATTTAGCAATTTTACTTTTTATTTGTGATAAAATACAGGTTTTGGTGCATCACAGATGCAAATGGCCAATTGTGTTCTTCTATTGCCTCTGAATCTTCTGGAAAATTAGAGGGCAAAGGAACAGGAGGAATCAGAGCAGTTCTCCAGGTCTTTCTTTTCATCAATAGCTCGTAGATTGTTCTGGTTTCAAACCCCACCAGCCCCTAAAAACACTACAAGAACTCTCTTAGTCCAAGAAATGAAATGTCTGGGTTTGCATCCTCCCAGCCTCATCAGGGGGGCCCAGGGAGGATGGACATGCCACAAAAATTTACTCGTTCCCAAGAATTATTATCAACTTTTCCTACATCTCTTCCTCTGCACTTTCATTTTTTCCCCTCCCCCAGTCCTGGTGTCTGGGCTGCTTTGAAAACAAAAGGATTACGACCAGATCTTAAAAGGGAAAATATTTTCAGCCAATTCACATGCGTCATTCTCGTGTGCAGAAAAATGTGAGAGCTTCAGAGCGAAAAAAGAGGGAGAAAATATGGGAATAGCTGTGTATGAAGAAACCCAGGCCATTTGTGCAGAAGACAATGGAGGAAGAAATCCCTTTTTCATGGCAAAAATGGCTTCAGGAATCTAGATGAAATATTTCCAGCAAGAAAATTTGTCTTAGGATCTTAATTGCTTGACTGACTGATAATGCCTACGTGACAGAGAAAGAAGAAACTCTTGGAACAAGGTTAAAAAAATACCCTGCATTCTGTAGATGAGCATGTTTGCTTTGCTTGTGATAATTAAAGAAAAATACACAATATCCTGGGAAACAGGCAAGAAATAACATTTTGCAGATGCACAAACAAATAATGCTTTCCCAGCATAAATGCACTCAATCCTAATGCCTTAATTCTTTGATTAAAATCAAGAATTGGACTTGACTTGGAGTGAAAGAGATTTAGATGGTGATTAGTTAGTTCCCCGTGGTAACCCTCACCCTTATTGCACCTTGGTAATTCTTGCAGCAGGTTCTGCCATCCCTGGAGCCATTCCCATATCCCACATTCCCAGCACTGGGAATTCCCTCTGGTCACAGCTCCAGCAATAAGCAGCTCCCTTTCCTTGGCACAAGGAATGCACTGCTGGCTCTGGGATGAGCTTGCTGTCTGTTAACACATCCACAGACTCCTGCACATTCTTGGCACTTTCACACATTCCTCAGCCTGTGCTGGAATACTTTGTCCAGCCCAAGTTCTACAAGAACTCTGCCTTTTTATTCTTTTTTTTTGAGTGAAACTTATTTAGAAGAGAACAAGGCTGAGTTCTCTGTTTTCACATCAAATCTAAAAATATTTTCTGCTTAACAGACCATCAACATCACCGTGAACACTTCCCCCAGTTGTGTGCAGAGTACACTGATACACAAAGAAAATAATTAAAGATACTTATTTTCATCCCACCACACAACACATTATAATGGGTCAGGTTTAGTTTCCTGTCTCAAATGCTTCAAAGCTCTGCTGAAACTGCTAAACCTGCAATAAATAAATAAATATGAGACATTTGGAACAGGATACTTACCAAATATTTGCACACACACCAGGTATTTATATAACATTTATATAATATTTAATATAGTAATATTTAATATATTAATATATTAATATTAATATATTAATATTAATATATAATAATAATATTAATAATAATGTATAACAATATTAATATATAATATTTTTATATATAACAGTTTGCCTCTCCTCGCTATGACGAGCATCAGACTTTTCTCTTTTAAATTTCAGAATGGAAAAAATAGTAAAAAAAGCCCTCCCAAAATAGCATCAACTGCAGATACACAAAATTTACAGATTTTGTAAATATTGTACAAATATAAAATTTACAAATCCTTATTTCTGATAAGGAATATACAATTATTTATATTACAAAATTATTTCATTGTATATAAATATTTATATATTTATAATATATAATAATAATAAAATAAAAATAACATAAATCAAAATAATCAAAATTTATAGATAGATATTTTAAATTATTTTATTATATATAAATTATTTTAATTTTTTTGGTAAGTATTTCATTACTGAGGAAAGTTAAGCACATTGTTTCCAACTTCTGGAAAAGAATAGGGTGCAAACATACAATTTAGACAATTAGAAAATTTAGACAATATGTCCAAAATAAGAGGGGTTTTTTCCCATTTTTGAATGGTCACAAAGGTTGAAAAAATATTTAGTTTCATGTTATTAGCATACTAATCCAAAAGAAAATGAAATAACTTTGTTGTGGATACAATCTTGCTGTGTTTGTCACAACTGATTAGATTTAGCAAATTTCAATAGGTCAGACTAGTGAAATGTGAATAGGGGTTACATAGAGAAATACTTCAAAATTTATTCAAATAAAGCCTCTAAATCAACACAGGGACC